ACCGCATACCTTTAATATTATTTATTTTATAATTGAAATTTAGCTTTATCACAATTTTGTATTTAAAAAAACATTTCAATAAATTATGATTAAGGGTTTTGTTTCTCGTGAAAATTTGATCGATTTCGATTCTTAAGAGATTTTGGTTCCAACCAAATTTCAACCACGTAGATTTTTTTACTTAGGCTAGGAAATTGTTTTCAATCGAAAATATGTATGAGAATAAAAAAATGTCATAATATCAAAAAATGTTAACAATGCAACCTATCATACAAATCGACAATCGAAAGTATTATTTTTGGTATTTTTTATTAAGAAACGCGAAGTAAAGAAAGCAGTAAAAATATCGAATCGAAAAGCAGTGTAGAATATTAAATTGCAGAGAAATGCAAAATGCGGAAACCTCGAAATTGCAGAAATGTAAATGGTGAGGATCTTAAACGCATAACCTTAACTTGCATTAAAAATAAAATAACAAGGAATTGAAAGTGCGGAAACTTAGAGTTACTAAACGTAAAATGCATCAAAGTAAATTACATAAACATAAATTACCAGGGATAGTAAAGAAAGCGATACAGACAATCAATGAAAATGGAAACCTAAATCGCCAGAAACTTCATGATTCGTCGTTCTCCGGTAGACTTTTCACTTGTGCTTCTGTTGTCTCTGCCAATTTCCCTCCTTCCCTTCATTATTTGCTCTATTTATAGAGCGCCTTTCAAGTAACCTCCTAAGAGTAGTTAACAAAACTGCCACCACGATCCATCATGCACGTCCCTTAGTTCCACGGTTTAGAAAACTGTATTTCACGTTCTCATGCATGAGATAACCGCTCCCTTGACCTTCGATCTCTGTCACGGTTTAGAAACCGCTTCTCATGTTCTATGTGCGCGTTAAATGTTCCTCTCTTTCTAACTTAGCCAGAATTTCGATAGTCATGTAGGTTAGTCTTTCCCTCGATCTCGATTCATGTGTCCATATTTACACATCGAATGTTTTTCAATCATCTTTTCAATTTATCAGTTTTTTAACCAATCATATGATCCTTGATTTTTTCTTTCCTTCATTTTTCGATCCCTTTATCAATTTCCCACTAACAGATTTATAATGACAATGTGAAATTTTTTAAATGTATCAAACATCCACGGTTAATTTGACATTTTATTACAACTTTAAAAGAAATGAATCCCATTTATTCATATGATAGCATTCACCTATATATATGAATTCCTTTTTTAATTGTTTTTTTGTCATGAGAAAAAAATAGAAGTATTATAATATAAAGAAAAAATGATTTTTATATTAAAAAATAATGAAAAATGTAAAAAAAAAGAAAAAAAAATTAAAATAATGTTTACAAAAATTGATTTTAACGTTTATGTTTCTATTATTAATAATAAAACTTTTTAAATATTAGAGTAAATTTAAAACATACTTTATAGATATTTAGATAATACAATACTTCTTTGAAAAAAAAATGAACCTATATACGTTGTGTTTTAATTTAAAAAGTAAATTGAAGAGACTTCAATTTCCAAGGAAAAAAGTAAAATGTTTTATTTATTTATTTATTTCTTAAAATCCTAAAATTAGCAATAAAATATTATTTAACTGGACAGTTTTAGTGAGCATCTGACTTTAAAAAATAAAATAAATATTTCAAATATTGATGAAAAATTATAATTAATATTACGTATGCATTATAATAAAATATGAACGTATTATGATATATATCATGTATAATAAATTATATTCAAATTTTGAAATTTGAAAGATAGTGATGTTATTTTCTTGTTGAGGAAAAAAAAATTATAGAAAAAGTTGTAAAGTATGTCTAAATTGATAATTCAAATTATGTGTAAAAGTGGTTTTTACTCGATAAAGTATCTGTCGCCATTAATGCGTTGTTTTCATATAGTTTGATATTTTCTATTTTGAAAGTGATATACATTTTAATTAGCATCTTTTTACAAATGAATTTAATCTTTAACTTATTTTTTCTAAGAAGATATTATTTGTTTTAAGTTATTATATATAGCCCTAATAGCTTGTATAGTTGGTGATAACAAATTGGGGCAGCGGATTCAAAATTTACAGAGTATTATTTTAACCAAAATTTAAAGTTCATTTTTTACCATCTTGAAAATAGAGGTCGGAAAGAGATATTAAATGAGTTAAAAAAAAAAAAAAAACGAGAGAACACTTGTAAAATATATGCCAATTTTCAATGTAATTTTTAATAAAAGAATAATATATTTAAAAACAAGTGATAATATTGTTATAATTAATTTTTAAAATATTATGTATTTTAAAATTTTTATTTATTAGGATTTTATTTTAAAAAAATATTTTAATATATATGTATAAATTATTTTTTATCTTGTTATGTTAATCATATAAGATTCGTGAGAGTACAAAAATCATATATTTCTATTTTATAAATTTAAATTATATGTCATAAACCTTTAAATAAAATATAAGAAATAAGTTTGAAAATGGAAAATATGTTATAAAAGTAAAATTAATTAGTAGAACTAATTATTGTTATAGAAAAACATAAAAACTTAAAGGGTTTTATCAACGTAAAACTCTCAATTAATAATAATACTTAAAGACTATTTCGTTTTATTTTTATTAAATGATTTAAAATAATCAATAATTTATTAATAAATAAACATATTAAAAAATATATTTTAAAAAGTAAAATATTACTAAAAAAATTAAATTATCAATAATATTTAACGTGTAGTTTTAAAATATTATACTTTACTTGTTAAAAACTATTATAACATATAAATGATTTTTAATATACACATATTATAGCGAATTGTAAGAAGTTTGGGGAGCCATGGCCACCTCCGTACCTCGAAGTTCCGTCGTCGGTTTTAATCAGTGATGTTTGTCCCGAAAACATTAGACAATGATTTGCCACCGCACAGGGTGGTTTCCGACCGATTCTATTACATCGCTCTGCTCCCCTCCGACAGCTGCCACGTGCAGGAGCTCTTCGTACCCAACCAAACTGGCCAATGTTGTCTTTTCACTCTTTGAAATCCTTTACGAAACAGAAATTAATGTTGTAATATCATCAAGTATCACCCCCGTTGTCCCAAGTTTACGAGAACACTGGTTTTCTGAAGTTGCTGGCTACAGAACCAACTAATCGTTTAGATATGACTAGAACACAGGTCTATCTAATCATGTCAAAATGTTGTTGAACATTCAATGCTCTGAGCGTACATGGCTCCAGCTGCAGTGTGTGTAAAGAAAAAGAAAGACGAAGCCTTTTTCCTAGCAATTTATCTATTTAACTATTTATGAAAATTATTAAGTGTTAAAGTAAATGTGATGGGATGTACTTAACTATTTACATTTTTTATTTTATTTTTAGGCATCATTTTTTTTTTGTAAACTTTGAATTCTTTAACAAAAATGAATGATTAATAATTGAGGTATTAATATTTATATTTAAATTATTTTTTATGCAAATCTGAAATTAAATTTATTATTAAGCATTTAAAATATAATGTTATTTATCAACAGTGTCGCAAAGTATTCATGGATTCTAATAAATATAACATAATATTCTTACAAAACCACAACTAAAAGAATAGTAGACCACTCTAATAACACTAATGGAAACGATGAAGAAATACTTTTTTTTTCTCACTCTCATATATATATATATATATATATATATATATATATATATATATATATATATATATATATATATATATATATATATATATATATATCACCTCATGTCTACCATTGTATCGGATTACAAAATCTTGGTTTGGTCAACAAAAAAATAAAAAATGCAACTTTGATAAAAAGAACACTCTAGAGTTCAGTTAAGGCGAACCACCATTCATTCTCTCTTGTAAATGGAAACAAATATTTTACATACGAAAAATTAAAATGGAATCACATTATAAAAGTTTCTGTTTTATATATATACATACATATATATATTTATATATATATATATATTTATCATTAATAATTACTAGTGGTTTAAGAGTCTATAAATAAACATGATTAAATCATAAATATATTATTCTACTATTGTCATCCAATACACTAGGATTGAATAAATTTTGTCTCTATTTCTTAACTAGTTAAAATAAAGGTATGCGCGCCTATTGCAGTTCCATAAGTTGCCAAGATGTCATTAGTTATGTAAAAATTATAATAAATATAAAAATATAAAATAAATCACGTTGATAATTAAAAAGGTTATAACTATATTTTGCTCTAAACATTCATTAACCTTTCATTTATGTATAATTATAGTTTAATTCAAAATAAAATATTACAATTGAAATAAAACACGATTAATAATAATAATAATAATAGACTATAGTAACAATAAGATGGTTTGTTGCATTAACAACAAATTGTTCAACTCAATTTTTCGAGAAACTGCGTCAATCACTATCAATCAAGTATGAAAATTCACATAAAAAGTAATGATCGTTGAGGGAAAACAAGAAAATCAACCGAGCCAATGACAGCTTCTAGGAGCTCAAATCAAATTACAGGTCTTCTTCACATCTAGATAAACACCGCAGCTTTTTTTTTTTTTCTACCATTTTTATAATTATTTAAAAAAAATAGAAAGTGTTGTGAAATTGTTGCGAGCCAACGGATATTGACAGCCACGTAGGAAATAATTTGACACGTCACCAACACGTGTCATAGGGTTGCATGCATTTGCGGCATATCTGCTGCTAAGTGGCCCCCCCTCCAATGTCATTATCTTTCTCTTTTATTTTTTAATAATTTTAACAAAAAATAAAACACATTATTTTCTCTCTCCTATCAAGACTCGCTCTCTCTCTAGCCGGTTACCGCTATTAAAAGGTGTCCCCTCCTTCACTTCCTCTCAAGCTATCTGCTGAACACAAGTTACTTTGGTTTATTGTTTCTGTTCTTGTTCTTTAAACTCTTTGTTCCAAAATTTTATAGAAAGGTTAACAAGAAGCAAAAAAAAAATGGTGGCTGTGGTTTCCCAAGAAAATGTTGTGGCATTGGTTTCTCGTACCGGTAGGGAGTTGCAACGTTATAGAAAAGGTCGTCGTCAAGTTGTGGGGTTCGTCTCTTCCTATCTCTCTTGTTCTTCAATTTTGGGAAACTGGGGTTTCGTATAAATTTTTGTTCTCGTCCATGTTTCTAAGTGGAAAAAAAAAACTGTTTTTCACTGGGATTTTGGTTTTGCTGAATTCCGAAACCATTTTTTCATTTCTTCAAGCTTTGTTCTGATATGGGTGAGTTGTATTTTCTAGTAAAGAGAAGAGTACAGCAGTTAAAGGTTATGGGTTTGTGAATACTGGACACCAGGGATTTGAAAATGAGTTTCTAACGAGGGAATTGAAAGTGAATTAGTTTGGTGAATTGGGATTGCGCTGTTTCACTATAGAGTTTCATTTCATTGATCACTAATTGTTTTACTGATTTTCATTAATTTTGTGTTTGCAATCGCGTTCATGCAGATGCATACCATACAGATTTAAGAATGAGCAGAAAACTTCGATGGACGTTTCTGATGAATTGGAAGTTCTGGTTATCAGTTCTCAGAAAGGAAAAGGGATGCTATTCCCAAAGGTAGACCCATAATCAATTATTAGTCAATAATCAACACCAACACCCAAATGGGCCAAGTTACACATTATTTCGATTTATTTTATTTATTTATAATTATTGTGGTTGACCAATAACAGGGAGGCTGGGAATTAGACGAATCGAAAAAGGAAGCAGCTTTGAGAGAAACTATAGAGGAAGCTGGGGTGAGAGGCATTGTTGGGGTAAGCCATTTACTCATGATTTTGGGCTAAAAAATTGATTACAAAAAGAAATGCTTTGTAAATTAAAAAAAAAAAACACTAATTTTTGTGTGGTGGTGCAGGGTAAATTGGGTAAATGGAGTTTCAAGAGTAAGACTCACAACACTTTCTACGAAGGCTACATGTTCCCTTTACTTGTTCAAGAGCAATTGGAGTTTTGGCCTGAGCAAAACGTTCGTAAACGAATATGGGTAAGTAAGCAGATGAACAATTGAATGAATGTTGAAGCAGTGTTTTAATTTGGTGGGGTTGTACTTTTCTGAAAGGGTCACTGATTTTTGTTTGAAACTTTCCGTTTAGATGAGCGTCACTGAAGCAAGGGATGTTTGTCAACACTGGTGGATGAAGGAAGCTCTAGACAGACTAGTAAACCGTCTAGCGGGTCAAAAAGTTGGTCGTGATAATAAGCAAGTTCTTGGTTCTATAAACTGCTCGAGAGATGCCAAATCTGACTTGTAAATAGTGTAGTAGCATCATGAAGGGTAGAGCTCAACTTTTTTGAGTTTCTCCGACGGCATAAAGTTGAGTAGGATCCAAAAGAATTGAGCCAAGTCATAGTATATAAATAATATATAGTAGTAGATCGCATAGAAATTGGTGATTCCCCCAATTTTTTTTCCCTGGGAAAAGGAATTTACATATTTTGCGTGGGAATTCACTGTATCTGTATTATTGAGAGACTTGTGGATATCCATTAGTCCACAATCGAATTGCTTTGTTTTTGAAGCAACAGAGTTGTGCTAATGCCAAGAAGGGATAAGGCTGTTTTGAGAAAAAAAAAAAATGAGAAGCTGCATTTTTTTCCCTTGTTTACTGCGTGAATTGATTATCTTTTGTGGGGTTTTAATCTCTTCCTTTTACTTGGAAGGCATGTTTTGTGCAGCATGAATAATGTTCAAAGAAACAATAATGTTGAGGGGTTATTCTTGGGCACCATTAAGTACAAATGTCATTGTCAAGGATGATTACTCGATCAGATTTCTTGGTCTATGGTTTGAGACCTCGCCATCATAAATTAAGTATTTAGGGTCTTTAATCTTCAATCGTTTCAGTTGTTATACCTAACTATATCCTTTGTTTAGTTGTATCAACTTCGATCTTCAATCTTCAATCAGTACGATTTGAAAGTTATGTTCATTATTCACACTGTTGCTTGAGCATGGCAATTGGGAATAAAAACAATGGTTGGTACCGTTTTTCTGGGGAGTCGAAGCAGATCCATCTAAACAAGATGGCAGTTACGAGTCATGAGCAAGAGGAATGCAAGGATGAACTGATTTTAGAGTTTTGACATGTAACTAAACGGGTTGTGGGGCATTGAGTTATGAAGTTAGCATTAATATTTAGCAATCAACTTGTGGTTCTAATAAATGGAGAAAGATGGGTTGGCATTAGCAGTAAGACCCCACGAAAAAGGTGTTGCTGAGTTGGGACAACTTTCAACTCTTGATGTACCCAAAAGCCAGCTCAGGGAATGTACACTTAGAAATTTCAACAATCTCACCTTTATGAACAAAAGAATCAATGATGAGTTGACCTGGTGAACTCAACGGTTGAGAATCAAATACGCCTCCGTGGGCACAACGGATTGTACCAGGCCCAATAAACTTTTGGGACCATGTCATTCAAGAGTCCAGATGCTCCATCTGAGCCACAAAGTGATGAAGCAAGTTGTTGGGTGACAAAACGTGTAATGGATCATGAAATAACTTACTCACCTACCTTAACCATACTGTTTCCTACAAGAGGCCCCATATCTAACTCGGGTTACAACTTTAGCATTTGCAGAGATAACAAAACAAGGATACATTGCATATTGACGCCAGAGCATGAGTCCAATTAGGTCGAGTTAGATCATTCGGAGTTCATTCTTGATACAATGCAAACAAAATAGTCAATGTAAATGCATCTCAAATAATGAAGCGAGTTTAACTCGGTTAATCTATCCACTAAACAGTGATGAGTTAATCCGTTTTCTCAAACATTAATATTCTAATTTTTTCTATTCATACTTTATTGTAAATCAACTCGAAGTGAACTCATTTTATATCAACTCATTTATTTTAGGAAGTGAACTCATTTTATTTCAGGAAATGAACTCATTTAACTCACTTATTTTAATAAATTTAAAAAATAAAAATAATTAAAAAATATACATATAAGTCAACTCACTAACTTACTAAACCGCGGTGGACAAGTCAAATTATAAAATTTTTTATTCGTCTGAATCAGATTAAATTGACTCATTTTAATGCAAACCGTGATAAATCAACGAGTGGAAGTCGGATTCACTCACCTTCACACCCTTAAGTACAGGTTGCAACTAAAGTCCATGAACCAACTCGTTAATACCTCATTGGTTAAATGGGTTAAAAAAGTATTGGTTTTTAATTTTCTAAATTGATTTTACCAATTTACCTAACTTGTATACTAAAGTTGTCTAACTCGGGTGAGAAAAAGTAAATTTATGTTAACATGTTTCTATTTTTTGAAATATTTTAAAATTAGTTTTTCTTGAGTCAAAGTTTTCTTTAAGTTGGATGGAATCAATTTTTTTAAGTAATATATTGAAGTTGTCTCACACATCTGTTTGTGTTTGGTCATAGAGAGATACAACTGGCTACATAAGTTGTATTTCAACAAAAAATTTCATAAACACTTTCGGGTTGAGAAAAATATGAATAAATAATTTAAATAATTTTTTTCATAAATTAGAGTTAATTTGTACAAGAATAATAAAAAAGTGAAGTTATATATGGGAGAGTTTTTTAAAAATTAGCTTGTGAATAAATTTGTTTAAACTTATGGATAAATCTATTTCATCTTTTCTTTATGTTTTGCTCTTCCATACGTGTTTATGGAAAAACTTATCAAAATAGATATTAAGTTTAATCATTCTTAGACAAAAAATAAATAAATAATTATTTAAAACGGTGATCTTAGCCACACTGTTTGGTCTTTAAGTGGAATGAAGAAACAAGTGGAAGGAAAAATCTTGGTCTGTGGGGGGACTTTAAAGAAACAAAAGGTGAGTAAGAAGAAGGGTGTGATAGATGTTTGGATATAGATAGATAGAGTGCTCCATTTTATGAATTAGACGGTTCGGACTCTTTTGGGCCCAGGCCTAGTTGTGGGCTGGCCCATATGATTTGAAGTCGTAGCAGACACACAGAATTTATGGGTTAGCGGGGTTAGAACTAGGAGAAAAGAGATGAAGACAACGCACCACAAGTTATGGAGACAAAATTGAAAGTTATGTTTTCCTCTCCTATCTCCCTCATTCACTGTGTTTGTGAGCTGTGAGAGGCACCTTCACTTCACACACATAACATGGTGGGTGGTGGCTAAGGAACCACACCATGAAACTATTATGAGAAGAGGGAAGAAAAGAATGAAAGACACCACAAACAATTTGGTCTCTTGTTCTCTAGTGAGGGCAAGACCTCACAATGCATTAAATTTCAAGTGTCTGGTTCTTAATTAACCGTGTAGTCTATTGGTTAGGACTTGACCCGAATGAAAAAAGGGGAACACCAATTGTCATCAAGTGAATAATCACCATACTAAATGGCTTTTTGTTGTCACGTTTACAGTTCAGTCTACACAGAAATTGGTGCTAAGGTCAAATTTTAGGTTCAAATGAAAGAGAGTGTCTAGTTAAGTTTTTTTTTTTTTTTTTTTTTTATGAAAATAAATCAAGATAAGCACTTTTTACTGATTTATTTCAGTATTTGAAAATTTTAAAAAATGAGTTATTTGTTCCTGATATGCTATCCATAAGAGTTGTTTAAACAACTTCTTCCTCGAAATATATATTCTGGACATCTAATATGAAAAAGGTTCTTTCAAAGAATAATTATAAACATTTTTTCTTATCATTATCACATGACATTACTTATCTTTCTTCCATTTTTGTCTAATCACTTATCACATGTTTGTTTTTTTCTATTTTTTCTTCCACTTCTTTATGGGTGCACATTAATCATTACCTATTAGAAAATAATTTATAAACTCTACGTTACAATTTAGAGATAAAATAGATAAATATAAGTATATATAAGATAATATGATAAAAAATAAAGAGAAATATTAAATATCAATGAAACGATAAGTGTTTATTATTAAAAAAAAAAGACTAAGTAAAGATTCATTATTATTTTATTTTGTTTTTTGTTGTTGTTATATTACATGTCGGTTGTCTGTTTGATCATGAGATCGATCAGTTCCAATCATGATCCATTGTTTAAGATCAAAACCCATTTTCATCAACTTATTACAAAACAAGCTATAGTAAGTGTGAACCTACCAAGTAGCAGAGAGACCTTAAGTAACAACTACCAAGTAAAACTGAGAACTCAAGACATGAAGAATTACAGTATAAAATACAAATCTAAACCTTTATAATATGGATAACAAATATTAAGTACTCTAGAGAAGATTTGGAAGTCTTATCAAAGTATTTTTCTAAAGAAGTTTATGTTCTAGAAAAAATATATAGATTTTGACTTAGATATGAGTGAGTAAAAATCCTGTTCAAAATTTAACGTCAAATATTTCTTTTTTTAATTAATTCATTTCGAATCTGCTAGATTTAGATCTCGAGAATATGATATTATTAAATGACTTAATTCTTACTGTATAAAAATTTGTTGTAATAACTCTTAGTTATAGTCTAAATTTTTGCGATTACATAATCTCTACTCCTTGCAATTACGACAGCCTATTATCAACTCTTGAAATCGAGACTAAAACGGGACTAGTTTGGACATTACAGTTTCAAACCGTATTAAACCAATGCTTGATATGGATGCAAACATCGACTTATTTAGGGCTCAACGGAGGGTAGAATTTGACAATGTACATACGGAATAATTCAAGTGTGAGGTGCCGTTTATTTAGTTCAATATTTGTCATCGTCTTTCCGTTCCTTTTCCTCTACTATGGCCAAGAACAATTGTGAGTATGAAGTTATTGACCTAAATGGATCTGAACTTTTTGTTTAAGTAAATGAGTTCGAAATATTGTTTTGGAGGTAGAAATTTCATGTTAGTGGATACTATAATCCTTATATCTAACCTAAAAAAAATTATGTTGCGTACGTTATAGTAGCTAGGGGACCTATATATGTTAGAGCAGTTAAAGGTGATATCACTGAGGGACCATTTTGAAATTGGAAGGTGTAGTTCACTAACTGCAATGGACATGGTGGAAAATGGAAATAACAGGTAAAAACCCTTTTGTGATTTTGCCAGTACTCTATACTTTCTCGTGACTTACCTGTAGTGTTCTCTACATTTATGCCATTATTTAAGGCCCACTATGTTTCTCTTTTCAAGTTCACACCAGAAACTAGCTTCTATAACTTTCATGCTGCTATACAAACTCTACGTTCAGTGCCATCTATTGCAATGTCCAATCATTTGACCTACACTAAATTTAATATTCTAGATATAGTTTGTGTTAAACTGAACGTGAGATTCATGAAGATAGTAGGTGTAGTGCGATGTCAGAGTTGTACTCTTGCGTCTTCACTTGAAAAAAAAAAAAAAGCTATCTTGTTGCAATAGGGCAAAAAGTATAGGCTTACTTTACATTTAATACACATATTAATGTATGATAAAGTCACTAATAGGGAAAGTTTAAAGCTCCTTATGTGACCTGTGTCGGTTTCTGTTCTTTTTAAGGGACTCAGAATCCCATACATGCATATGTGGGCACTGCGGCAATAGGAGATAAAAATATTTTTGAATATTTGTCATTAGATTTTAGAAATTGATTTTAGTGCTTACGTGAGATCTTGGTAATAGTGAACCGACTTCATCGTTGGCTCTTCTTGTTTTCTCAACCTTCCTTAGTCCTGAGGAGAAGTGTAAGTTTCAGGATACGTAACATGTACCTTTCTCTTTCGACTTTCGCCATCTTAATCCACTAGTGTATTCAAACTGAAAATGAGTATACTCATTGATCACCAATAGCTACAATCATTAAGGTTACACTTAAAGTTTCAAAAGGGTTTAGCATTATTCTTTTAATTCAAGAGAAAGGAAAAAAAAGTTACGTTGGATTAAGGAATGGCGACAAAGTAAAAAAATGGCCACGTTAGTTATAATATTTCCTTTTCACATTTAGACTGGGTAATTTTCTCTGTTTTTAACCTTGATTTTATACACCTAATTTAATTTATGTAACGATGTAATATCCCGTTGCCTTCTTAGAATATTGTCATATAATTTTAAAAAGATTTACGTAACGTTATGATAATTGTTAATTAAAATTGTTGGATTTAGTTTATTTAAAGGGACATAAAAGTAAAACAAAATTTTGCAATCATTAACAAATTAATAGTTAACATTTAAGCTACTAGTATAACCATTAATATACCCTTAAGAATAAACCTAGTAGGAGGATTTGAGTCATTTATACGAAGTCTTCTATTCAGACCTTCATTTTAAATATTTATTATGGAGAATGTTTTACAATCTTGTTTTCAAAAGATGTCTTTATGCATCAAAGAGGATGGTCTTTATAAATTAATGTCAACCTAAATTTTTAATGTGACTAGAATTTAAATTTAAAACAATTGATTTAAATGAAACAAAATTTCTCTTGTGAATACATTATGTGTTCTAAAAAATTCAAATCCTTCCATACATATCATATATTTTTACCATAAATCAATCATCATCATTGTTTCTGACTTTTCATCCTTAAGTAAAACTCATTTTATTGACCATATTACATCACATATCAATTATTTATCAAAAGATGGATAGACCCCACATGCTGGGCAGTAAATTAAGAAGAAAAACTTTTTCTGTTTTATTCACCACACACATGACATGGCTATGGAGTGGACTTGCTTATTTAAAGCAACTCCATGTCCAACCTCACAGCTCTCCCACTCTTCACTCCTCCATTCCCAAGCAATACAATCCCATCATTTATATCACCAAATCAAATCAAATCCACCATGACATACATGCACTTAACATCATCATCTCCTTCTGACATATTCATGCATTAACACCTCCACACACTTTCATCAACCTCTTACGTAAACCAAACCAACTAGTACTTCTCACAAAACTAATGGCGAAAACAAAACAAACCCTAACCCTTTTGTTAATCTCGTCATCTTTCGCCACCTTCTTCGTTCTCTCTCTCTCCTCCGCCGCGGACTTCTTCCTCTACGGTGGGTGCACGCAGCAACGGTACGCCTCCAACTCGCCCTACGAGTCAAACCTCAATTCGCTCCTCACCTCGCTGGTCAACTCGGCCACGTACTCCTCCTACAGCAACCTCACCGTGGTGGGGTCCAGCCGGAGCGACATTGTTTACGGACTCTACCAGTGCCGCGGCGACCTCGCCATGCCGGACTGCGCCGCATGCGTTGCGCGTGCGGTCTCTCGCGCCGGCCAGCTCTGCCCGGGGGCGTGCGGCGGCGCGGTGCAGCTCGACGGGTGTTTCGTGAAGTACGACAACGCCACGTTCCTGGGCGTGGAGGACAAGACGGTGGTGTTGAAGAGGTGTGGGCCCTCCCTGGGGTTCGGGTCGGGCGCGGTGAGCGAGAGAGATGCGGTATTGGGTGGGTTGCTGGGTTCGGGAGGGTTTTTTCGGGTTGGGGGGTCGGGTGAGGTGAAGGGCGTGGCGCAGTGTTGTGGGGATTTGAGCTTTTCTGAGTGTCAGGATTGTGTGGGGGATGCAATCCGACGGCTGAGGAGTGAGTGTGCTGGTGCGGACTATGGGGATGTGTTCTTGGGGAAGTGTTACGCCAGGTTCTCCACTAATGGGGCTCATGCTTACAACAGCAAGGCCCATGGTAAGGCCCAACGCTTAAACTAATAAAAATCTTTTAAAACAAGAGTAAGAAAGTTGAAGAGTGTGAAAAATATAATGTATTGCATCTCTTATCTTGGAATATATCCACTCATGAATTAGTTTAAAATAATAGTTATGTTAATTGCTTAATTATTGAAAAATAAAGGCTCATGTATGAGCTATAGACGTCACATGAACAACCCTTATGGTTGTTTTGCCTTTTGAGTGACTTAATAGAAATTTTATTGAGGCTTAATATTAAAATTATATGATAATAAAGTAATAAAGGTAATTTAGTAATATTGAATTGGTGTTTAGCAGGAAAATCGGGGAACGAAGGTGAAAAGACATTCGCAATAATTGTTGGATTATTAGCAGGAGTTGCTGTACTCATTATTTTCCTTGCTTTCTTGAGAAGGCTTTGTGAGGGACACGGTAAATAAATACCATTTTTTTTTTCTCTTGTTTCTCTTTTATTTAGTAAATTATTGACACGAATTTTATTTTATTTTTCTCGTGCAGGTAAATAAAGTTTGATAAAATCAGTGGCATGGCACTGCTGAAAAATTCTCAGGCTTCTCCTAGGTCTGCTTTTGGGACGTCTTTTGCTTTCCTTTATTTATATCTTCACCACGTCTTTTTCTTTTCTTTTTTTCTGCCCTCTTTCTTTATCCTTCCCTTTATTACAAGCTTGAATTGAAAAGAGGACCTTGACGAGGACATCATATGGAACCACTGAGTTGAATGCAAAATGCAAAAGCCAAAGATGAACAAAAGAGGCTTAAAAAAGATTCTGTTTTCCTCACTCCACTTAACACTTGCGTTGTCTCATCTCCTTGCAAATAATTATCTACATCATTCTTTGTGTTCATTTTCTTTTTTAAGTTGTATAAGAATTCCCACTTTGTGTATTGTTAGTATATGCGCTCGTGAACTTTTGGTTGGTTATATCTAATATACAAGATTTTTGGTGTTATTTTCTCCTTTTCAAGGTACCTTTTTTATTTTTCAAAGCTATGCTTAAATCTGTGCTCGACTTCGCCAGGAAAACCATTATCTGAATCCAGACATGACTATCGCTAGATCAACAATATTGAATTTGGTGTACTCAGAAACAAGTCTCACATAGCCAAATACATTTTAATTTAAAATTATTCATAACATATTGTTAGTGGCAAATCGAGAAAAGCGATCGAAATCGAAGGGAAGAAATATGACTCGATAAGATAAACAAAAGTTCATTCGATGTCTAATCAGAAATACGTAGCCTATAGCATCGAGAAACACAATCGAGAATCGAATGAATTGTAATCAAATGACTGTTGTCGAATAAAAACTAAGTCATAAGATCAGGATTAAAAAGGAATCGCGAGCAATTCGAAGTTCTCGAAAGATATAGAATCGAGAATAAAGAAAGCCAATGGGGACATCGAGATTTTTGGCCAAATCGTGAAGGGAAGTAAGTCGAATGCACGTATAGAGAGCAGTTTTGAAATCATGGGTAAAAGTTGGAGATCGTGAGATCGTGGGAAACTAGAAGATAAACTGCCATACGCACGTAGAACGTGGTAGCAGTCGTATTAACTGCTCTTAGAAGGCTTGAAGGATGCCCTATAAATAGAGCAAAGAAGGAAGGAACAAAGGGAGCAAAAAATTGGCAGAGCGCAGAATCAGCAGTGAAACGTCTACCGGAGGAACGACGAACACCATGAAGTTTCTGGCAATCTGGATTTCCCTGCTCACGGAGTACATTTATCGCTTTCTGTATTTTCCTTGGTAATTTACTTTCGAGCCATTTCAATTCAGCAATTTCATATTCTTGTATATTACATTCAATGTCATTTCGATTTCCTGTTATTTACTGTTTATGCAATCTTAATGGGTTTTAGCAATTTACATTTCCCGCACATTTCGATTTCCTGTCCTTTATTTCTCTTGCAAACTTAATTTCTTGCAAATTTGGGGGTTTTCGCAATTTCTTGCAAATTTGGGGGTTTTCGCATTTTCTTGCAATTTAATATTCTCTTTTCTCGATTCGATACTTTACTGCTTTGTTTGATTCGAGCATTTTAGACATAAAATACCAAACATAGTATTTCTCGATACTTATAGTTTTCGACTCTCATACACATTTTCGATTGAAAATCAAATTGCTAGCCTAAGTAAAAAAGAACTTACATGGTAGAATTTCGATTAGGACCAAAATACCCTTAGGATCGAAATCAATCAAAATTCCACCAGAAACAAATTGGCACGCCCAGTGGGACTCTAGTTTTGTGTTGAAAAAACATAAAGAGGTTAGTTCGAGAGTGTATGAGATTAAGAAGTGGGAGAGTTATAAGAATGAGTCAGAATTCATCAAGTAGTCAGAATAACAATGAGGGTCTAAGTGGTGTGCTCCCACCAAATACTGGGGGGCAAGGGCATAATGGGAGTATGCCTGTAGTGTCGACAACTGTGAGCACGTCGATACCAGCAAGTAATGAACAAAATCCAGGTACATTGGCAAACACCCATGTAGGGTCTAGTATAGCAATATCAAATAATATGCAAACTATGGGAAACCCCATAACCACATATGCAAGGCCATATACTAGTGTAAGACCACCTGGTTTTTTACCCAATAACATGAATGGAGCTGGCACTTCATCGATACATAGAAATTCACGATACAGCTTAGGAATGCCTCCAAACGTAGGTACATTTCAAACCCTAGGCATGCCACAAAACTTTGGAGTATCTACACATTTAGGGGCATCTCAAAATTCAGTGACATCACAAAATTCAGGGAATGGACCAAACTTAGGGATACAACAGACACCTCCAAATCTAGATCCTAGGGGGAATCTCGATCATGGGAGATATACATTTGATAGGGACTATCATCGATCTAATTTCGAGAATATCGAAAATACTAATACTGGGATTTCCAGTAACTCCCTAGGAATACTTAGACAACAAATGGATGAGAGTAATTTTGAAATGGTGAATATGTTATCACAGCAGTTGACTACGGTCTTAAACCCATTAGTTCAAAATACTACTGTTAGTTTCGAGATATTAGCGGATCAAATGTCTCGAATTGGAGATGCATTGGCTGTACCTCGACAAACGAGGATGGAGAATCATGCCAATCAGAATATAAATCCCCCTTATTTATTAAGAAGGAATCGGAACAATGATCAATATCAGCAAATGGGGAACGAATATCAACATGTGAGGAATGATATTTACGGAAATCTGAATGAGGGATTTCAAAATATTCATAATCAGAATAATACGCAATATAATCACATGGTAGGACAAAGGATGAATTTCCAAGGGACGGATTTAAGACCACCCAATCAGACATATTTTGTGTCTTCTTTTCCAAATGCGATTCTCGAGACAGAATTGCCTCGAGGATACAAAGTACCCAAATTCACTAAATTTGCTGGAGAAGTTGGTGAATCAACTATCGAGCATGTAGCTCGATATCAGATAGAGTGTGGGGACTTAGCAATGAGTGAAGAGTTAAAAATGAAGTATTTCCCTAGTTCCTTGACTAAGAATGCTTTCACTTGGTTTACTTCATTGCCACCCAATTCGATATATAATTGGTTGCAGTTAGAAAGAAATTTCCATGAACAATTCTTTAGAGGAGAAACTCAAGTAAGTCTCATTGATTTGATGAACATAAAACGATATAATCATGAAAACATAGATGATTATCTCGAATCGATTTAGACAAATGAAATCAAGATGTTTTACTCAAATTCCTGAATACGAATTAGTCGGGATGACTTCGCAGGTTTAGAATTCTCGATTAGGAAAAAATTAGTAAATTTGCCATTAAATGACATGGCTCAGTTAGCTGATAAAGTGAGGAGAGTGGAACAAATCGAGTATGAGAAACAAAGGCACAAGAAATTTGAGAAACCTGTGAAAAAAGAAAGAATAGCCTATATAAATGATGTGTATGAAGTAGATCCCTCGACAGAAAATGATATCGAGGAAAATTTTGATGAGAAAGTGAATATAGCAGAGCTCAAAGTAGGAGCTCCATATACTTGTAAATTGTTGCAAAAGAATGAAGTGAAAGATAAAATGGCAAATCGAACCTATACTTTCGATGTAACAAAAGCAGATAAGATCTTCGACATTCTACTAAAAGATAAACAGATTAAGTTAAGCGAAGATCACAAACTGCCTTCTGCAGAACAAAGGGGTGGTCGAAAATATTGTAAATTTCATAATATTTATGGACACTGGACTAACAATTGTATACATTTTAGGAACACGGTTCAAGATGCAATCGACCAAGGAAGACTAAAGTTTGGGGAGACAGCGATGAAAGTGGACACGAGTCCGTTCGAAGTCCAAGTGGGATATATTGAATCCCAAACCGAGATGAAGGATGACGTTAGATCGATGAATGCCACCTTCATAGGCATGGTCGATGTTATCGAAGACATCGATCCCAAGCATATCGAATGGACGTATCGGAGGAAGATATGGAGTTCGACTTGAGCGAATTCGAAAAAGAATTTGAGAAAGAGATATACCCTCGAGCGAGAGACTCTCTCGTTGAATTTTTGAATAGGAAGAAAGAGAAAGACGAAGACGTGTCGCTATGCCCACGGTGCAAGTGCGGTTTTCGATAAATCAGCTGCCAAAGCTTTCAAAATTGAACAAACAAAGAAGATCGAGAGTCAAAACAAAAGGAAAAATGATAAAGTGGAGCAAACGGCCCGACCAACTATCGAAGAAAGTCAACGTAAATCTGTTGGTTCCGGTGTTAGCGGAATCAAAGGCAATGGGTTAGAAGAGAGATGTATCCTTCTCGAGGAGGAAGAGGAAGACTTCAAAGTAGTGATGTCTTCGAGAGACTATCATACGATGAAGGATCAAACACTCGGATTCCCAACATTCCCAAGAAGATTCCGAGGAAGGCCCCGGAGAAGAGGAGGAAGGATCCCTTACCTGGAGTAATTATAGAAACTTTGAAGAGAATATTGTACCTATGGAAAGCCAATATTCAAGGGAATTCTTCGATGATAAGAATGAAGGCAACTGGAACGAACATCAAATCGGAGTGATATCGATATTACCCGTGGAATATGTCAACGAATACAAGAAATATCAAGAACAGAGTGATGTTAATCGAGAAGATGACTTCTATTCGGAAAACATAAGGCCAAAGGTGACATGGGTAACTCGTGCATCGTGCGAAATACCTCATAGAGATGCTCGCCTTCATCGACCCTCCATCTCGAAGAAATGAGGTTCCACTTGAAACCTTTACTATTAAACATCGAGATCCAAGGACAAATGGTGAACAAGGTCCTTATCGATGGTGGCGCAGCCAGTAAACATATTGCCAATCTCCATGCCGAAGAGGTTTGGCATCGAGCTTAAAGATCTAGTCAAACACAACATTATGATTTCCGATTTCAGCGGAAAA